AAAAAAAAAAAAAAAATTTTCCTTTTAAATTTTAACCCTATTTTTCTTTTTTTTTCTCATTCGGTCAACCTCGAAATTTTTTTTTTCTTTTTTTCTATTACTCGAATTGGAATGACGGGTCAGACAATTGATTTTCCAAAAAAGGAAAAATTGAAGTTTTGTAGTTTTTCTCCTCTACCCCCCTCCCCAAACATTTTACTGTCACTGTAGTGAAGGAAAGAAAAAAAAAGGAAAGAAAATTACGTTTCCTTTTTTTTTTTTCCTTTTTTTTTTCGTATCGAACAACCGATTCGAGTAAGAGTTTGTTTGTTTGTTTGTTTGTTGTACGAAATTCAAATTAACTTTTTTTTACTCGTAGAATTTTTTTATAAATAAATAAATAAAATTTTAAAAATAAAACGAACGCTTTTCCAAATTTTAAAAAATAAATCACGTGATTATTTCGTAATTTTCCATAGAAATTAAAAATAATAATAATAATAATAATAAAATTATAATGAGGTAACTTTTTTTTTTAATGTTTGCATCTCTGTTTTCAGGGGAAATTTATTCTTTTTTTAATAAATTAAGAAGGGAGTGGTTGAGGGGAGGGGAGGGGCTAGAAGTCTATTGTAAATTTTGATTTTTCTTTTCTTTCTTCGAAAGTAGGTTCAAGGAGGGGAGGGGGGTAAAAAAAAATTATTATTTTTTTTTCTTATGAGAGAGAACAAAAGAATTCTATAAAAAATTACTTTTTTTTTTTTCGTTTTTTGTTTTCGAAAAAGAAGTCAATTCGAAAATGTCGGAACTTCAATTTATGTTTCATATATCCTCCCATATCCGACCGAATTTTCTAGAAAGAGAAAAAAATAAGAAAAAAAGAAACAATGAAGGATTATGGGAAAAAAAAGAAAAGAGAAAATGTACAAAGACGTGAAATTGTTTTTTTTTTGTCCTTTGCACCACAAAGGAAAATTAAAAAAAAATCGAATCGAATATTTTTTTTTTCCTAATCAAATAATTTATTAAATTTAGTTTTAAAAAAAAATTTATAACGGGAACGATTTCTAAACCTTTTCTATCACCCCCCCAAAAAAAAAAAAAAAAAATTTAACGACATCAAACGATAAATTTTTTTTTTCTTCTATTACCTCCTCCTCCTCCTCCCTCTTCCTAAAAATTTTATAAAAAAAAAACCGTTCGAATAATTATTATTATTTTAAAAAAGAAATTCGATTCAAAATATATTTTTCCTTTTTACAAACCGGAAACTCAAACCTGATAGCACAAATTAAACGTGAAAAAATAAAATAATAATAATAATAATTTTTTATCGGTTTTTTTTAATATGAAAAATTATTAAAAAAATGAAAAATATTTATTTGAAATCGTTTTAAAAAAAAAAAATCGAGAGAGAGAGAGAGAGAAAAAGGGAGAGTTTGAGTGGGGTAAAAAAAAAGGAAAAAAATTTCAAAGGAAAAAAAAAAATGAAAAGATAGAAAATCGTAGTACATGAGAAAATGGGAAGGGGAAAAGAGGGGAAATCGATTTTTTTTTATTTAACGAAAGCAATAAAATCATTTTGGAGGGAAACCCCGAAGAAGGTTCGTAAAATTTGTGGTTTTTCGATTGCCAACTAAATAACTAATATCAATTCTTTTTTTTACCCCGATAATAAATTTAAAAAGAAACACAAAAATCATTTTAAGTTTCGATTTTAAATTGTTTTGAATCATTTATCTTTTTTTTTCCTTTTTTATCTTCATCCAGATTCCCAATTGTGATTTATTTCCCATTGAAACATTCATTCAATGAATAAAAAAAAAAAAAAAAAAACTTAAATCCGTTCAACAATAAAAAAAAAAAAATTTTTTTTTGAGAGAGAGAGAGAAAGAAAAGAAAAAAGAATCAGGTGAGAAAACAAAGGCAAATGAAGAGGATAAAATCCGAAAAGGTTTTTCCCACAAGGGTCACTAACCTCGAAAACCGCCATTAAATTAAAAAAAAAAAAAATTTCTTTTTTTTTTTAATTTTTTTTTTTTT